TAACTAGCCCCGGGCTCCCGCGGGCTTCAGGCGCTCTAGGTTTGCTGGGTTACCGCAGGAATTAAGATGCAGCTGACTGTTTGCTACTTTTTGGGCTGCAGTATTTTCTTAGCTTCAGGATACAACTCCTTTAGTAAGAGCATGGAGGCGATAGGCAAGAAGCAGTACCAGGTTCAGCACGGGGCGTGCAGCTACACCTTCCTTTTGCCCGAGACGGACAACTGCCGGTCTTCTACTTCCTTCGTGTCCAACGCAGTGCAAAGGGATGCACCTTTAGATTATGACGATTCAGTTCAAAGACTGCAGCTACTTGAAAACATCATGGAAAACAACACCCAGTGGCTAATGAAGGTAGGATAATATCGTTTCTGTTAGAAAAAAATCTTGCTCGCAATGTTCGTTGCCTATTTCATTGTGGTTTTTTTCTTCTAACGGTTTCTAAATTCACAAAATGCATCATCTAAACTACGTTTCTGAATCACCTTTCCATCAAAAAGTTGTTTTGAAGTCTGAGAACGTAATTCAACTGACTAGAAAGGAACAGAGAACCGCATTGCTGTGCAGAGCTCGTGCTTTAAAGTTGGTCATTACATTTGAGTTGCTTGGACAAATAGCAATTACTCAGGCAGGCAGGCTGCGAGGATGTCTGAAATTTCTGACATGAAAGAACCAACTACTAACTTATGATTAACTGACTAAAGAATATAGACTGCACCTTGATCCGAGGCATGTTTGCACAATGTTACTTGAAACATGATTTCAAAACTTGCAGGCAGAAATTAGCATATTAAGACCCACTGATAAAGAATTGTAATTCTAAGCAAGGACTGCCAGTTTGACTTGCAGTGAAATTAGCCTAGTGAAGTGATAGAATTTCAAGAAAGTTCATTAGCAGATGTCCTTCGCATCCTGTAACGTTTCCACTCAAACATGCACCATTCAAGGGAAAAATAGTCTGGAAAAGGTGTTGCAGATGCCACATAGCTTCCTTTAATGCAACTCCATTGTAACTAAGGGAAAACGGCATGTTTATTGCCAAAGTGGCAACATTTGTAAAATTATACCTGAAACCACAGCAAAACATTTATACTCTATAAATTCTTAGTATTACTGAGAATAAGCCTGATCACTAGTCCTCATTTTAATACAAACTCACTTGATTCTAAATGCTATACAGTTCAATAGATTCTGGTTTAATAAACCCTTATTTCACTGGCACCTGAAGTAGTGTGATAATATAGTTTAGTTGCATAGTAAATTTGTGAGTGCTTAAGTCCCATACCAAGATGCCTAGCTTCTAAGCAATAAATATTTTGAGGACTGAACTGAGCAGTTGACATAATATCTCTATGTAAGTGTTCAAGTGATGTCATAAGGGATTTTTTTTCATAAAGAAGTATTTGTTGCGAATAGAGAGAATTCACAATTCTCGACAATGAGCAGCCAATTCTTTCTCCTAAGTTTACATGATTATAAAATAATTTTGCACTAGGGTTCAATTCTCTGATCAGTTACAAAGTTACAGAACTGGCAGGATATAATCAAAGGAACCTGCTAGAGAATTTGTGTGTGTAAGAAATAGAAGTTACACTTCAAAGCAGAAAGCATAGTGTTGCCATCTACCTGAAAATGAACCCTGAATCTTAAATCCAAAATGCATACACTTGAGGGCTGCAGTATGGGCCTCTAAATCTGTCTCTATGGGTTTAGGATGCTTAATTTAGACACCCAAATAATGTCAGTTCAGTAGCTTTTGGTTTTTTTTTAATCTCACAGGCAAACATACCTCCCTCCACATACTTACCTTCCTACTTATTAATTTACAATGCTCACTATTGTAATGTTAAGACCAACATTAACAGATGTGCAATGCGGGATGAAAACCACACAAAGTAAAGCAGTCTAATCTACCCAGCTGCTAAGCAATTTCCTAACATAAATAGAAAATCACACACGGGACGCCAGTGCTAAATGCCACTTAAGCAGGCAAACACAGTCTCGTAAGTGGCATCAGGTAAACAGAAATCAGTAAGCAAATTCCGGCATCCTTATTTAGTAAAAACTATGCTTTTTCCTCTCAGTCCCTGGGAAATCAGTTACAAGAGGAATAGGATAAGTATATCTAAGCCATTCTTTGGGGGATCAAAAGGCAGATTTTCTAAGATAGAGAAGAGTTTCTTTTATTTGAGAAAGATTCCCAAATAATATGCTTTAGAATAGCCTGATTTTTTTCCCCTATCTGTTCCCCAGCTAAACATCCTGTAAAATAACTGCTGTTTGCCTTTTTCACTATTTTAACACCTGCTCTTTATGTCATCTGTTTTGTTCACAAAGAGACTCCAACAAAAGTGGCTTTTCCTCAGCTTTGCTTTCCTAGAGACACCTGGTCTGCAAGTGAAGATGAAAAGCAAACAATAACCTTTAAAGTTGCTTACAGAGTTTACTTGCTGTTTTTTTAAGGTCACTAATACACATTCCTAGGTTTACATTCCAATTTACGAAAATACAATGCTAGATTAATCAAGGCATAGCAAAAAACGTTTGTTCACTTAGTCTTTATACCATATTGAAAGTGTAATATAAGATTGATTAAAAAAACCCTGACATTAACTTCTCGACAATTGCACAAAAAGCTACTTTAGGTCTTGCTTTTTTAAAAAAGTTTTTTTTTCTCATTTAAGAGGCAGCACCTGTTCTATTTTGAAGTTGCATTAAAATGTATATATATTAAAAGCTTTTAGTGTGAATTAACCTGTAAATGTTGTTCCTGAAGTATTGCACATCCCCAAACATTTTTACACTCCTCCCCCCCTCCTGCCTTTAATCCGTCAACTAAAGGAAACATTCTGTTTCTGAATGAACGCGAGGCTGCATGAATGGGACAGCATGGGAAGTGTGCGCTTCATCTGGTTAACGGACAAACACAATGGGAAGAAAATGGGTTACGTAGGTCCAGGTTCTTTTCTGATCTGCTCCCGCGTAGGGAGCAGAAGACTTTGTTCTACAATTGCTACAAATTGCTGCTTCGTGAAAACACATTTTTTTTGGTCTGAATTGTATCAATGCCTTATGCCACTAATGTACATACCTTACATAAAACTGGAATGTCTTTTCAAAAGTAGATTACGTTTAAGCGTGCAGATGACATATTAGAACAAACCACTATTCCACCTAATCCAGTGTTCAGTAGTAAGCCAGTAAGCGATGCTGTAGAGTAAAGGCCAAACCCCTGGATCAGCTGACTTTTCCTACCTTGGACTCAATTTCTATATTGAAGTGTAAGATTTTTTTTTTTTGTTTAATGCATGTATGGGCAGGGAGAACAAACCTCTTGATAATAAGAATTTCAATTAATTTTAGAGGATAGCAAATTGGTATACAGCTGAGATACAATACTGGAAATTTTAAATGTATATATGTAAGTTGGCTATTATAGTTTAGGGTTTTTTTTAATACAAACCCAACATCAATATTTAAGATATTCCTGGAAGACAGACAATTCCTCTAAGTTCCACAATTAAAAAAAATCTCTATTCGAATTAATGGCAGCTTTACCATTTGCATCATGGCATTTCTATCCAAGGAACTGCATTTTTTTGAGTATTAAGACAGTCAAATAACTGAATGCTAACTTGAATTTACTTCTTAGTGTGTAAACTAGATCTTATGACTCAGGAGATATGACTGTTCAAAACAAATACTTTCTTAGTCTTTCTTATTATAAACATTTGAAAATGGTGTATGATCAAATTGATTATAGCATATGGAATACAGGTAATTTATTTGTAGTGTATCAGCAGATCAAAAGACTGGAAACTAAAAGTCTGTGCCAGGAGTCAACATTTAAGCCTAAGACCAGAACTTCTTCCTGAACCATCTCAGCAGACTGGGAGTGAGACATTTTGCTGATAGAGATGCAGTATCTCTGGATACTCTGAACTGAGATTCGTTTTCCCTTTTCATATTATTCTGGAAGCTAAAAACCCTTTGTCAACTTGAAATGTTTTTCTTCTCTAAGCACAACAGATTCAGATGTTTTAAAATGTATGGGAATAAACGCTTGTAATTTTTGATGAGTAATTACCAATTAAAAGTTGTAAGTATTGTCATACTTGTACTGAACTTCATATCTCAAATACAAAAAGATACTCTGACATGTCATCATCCAAAAATATCTGCACACAATGGACAAGGACAAATATATTTTACAGTGTTGGATTTTGAAGTACGCAAGAGATGATTCTGACTCTGAATCAAGAGCTGCATTCCTTTCTTAAGTAATGCATCTGTTTTCACTTATGTGAAAAGTGCTTGTTTCTGTCTATCAACTATGTATTTGTGAAGCAAATAGTAGTGGCAGGACCCAAAAGAAAATGCTTTTTTACTTTCAGATTAGTACATGTTATTGGATAAAGTTTCCATGCTACTTTAAATAATCTGACTATGCAGTTTATTGTTATACCTCCTGTAGGTAAATTTCCATGAAACGTTTGAGATTAAACTTTTGCATGTGTTTCCCCATGTTTCACAAATAGAAAGACTGTTTCCCCATCATTTCACAAATACCAAATTGGTGATACAGGTATGAAATTGGACAAAATCAACAAAGAGGAGTAGAGCTTTTCTTGTACAACTCTACAAGACAAAATTGAAGTTAAGAGCTCACCATGTCCAAGATGCTATCAGTAAAAAATGTGATAAACAGAGGCTCGTTTTACTGAACCAGTCTCTTGCTAGCATTCAAGATATATTTTTATGCTCTTTGTCTGTTATTAATATGATCATAAACTTATCATCTTTGACTGATCCAAAAAGCAAATTGAGAGACTTTCTCCATTAATTATTGACATCAAGTGCTTTATTTTTCCTCTTTTTTCTCTTTCTTCAAGTGCACATATAGGAAACGAGCCTGGAGATGCTTAAGTTGACAGTTTCCAGTCCTTTTTGTTTGCATACCCACTTAACTTACAAAACTTAACAGCATAACCTTCAGAATATCTTAGAAGCTTTCGCAGAGACTGAGGTTCAGAATAGTGTTTTCTTTTACAGACAATTATCTTGTTAGTTCTCCTTTTTTGTTGTTAATTATGAACAAATTCAACATCATGCATCTCCCCATAATTCACCAAGAGAAACAATTGATATAATTTGCTTGATTCCTAATCAGAAGAAAAAAAAGCGATCACACATGTATTGCTTAGAACAGAATTTTGCCCAGAAGACAGATACCCATTTCTAACCTTCAAAACATGACATCTAGTATCTTCAGTGACTGTATTATACTGTTGTTTTCATACTACAGTATTTGTGTTTTTGAAAATATACCACATTATACATTATTTGATTTATGA